TCCTCAATTTCTGCTTAAACTTCTACGTAGTCTCGAGTTCCAAGTGTTTTCTAAAAGCCACATAATCCGGCCAGTGGCACAAGAAGATGGGCGGATACCGAAGCCCAACCAGCACTCAATCGTAAAAGCGGGTATAGAAGATTAACAACAAGGAGAGGTTTTAAGGAACCTACATGAATAAATGCAGCTCAGTTCATTTATGGCATCACTTGTTTTGAAAGCTGGGGCTGAGCTCACATTTGCAAGAACAAGATACTGTGTAGTACAGAGCCATGGTCTGTGGGCTGCATTGTAGACATAGCTGGGGCCATGGAAAATGTGAAAGCGACACAAAGAAACAATGAAAGTGATTGGCACAAAGACTGCAACAAGACTCAACAGCACCACTGGCACTTCGTTTCCTTTCAGCCCGAAAGGAGGGGGGAGCCTGCCACATACAAAAGCCTATTGAAAAGGTGTTTGTCCGAAGAAGCAGTGCCAAGACGTAGTTAGACTGGGCTCCAGCTGACTTAAAGACCTCAGGAGAGGGGTTACCGAGATAGACTTCAGTGATCTACAGAAAAGAGGAGCTGCGTGGGCACTTTTAAAAATGCCACAGCCAGGGCCACAGGCTCAGGTTGGACAGGGAAGTTGAGGATAAAAGATTTGCTTGGAGACTTAAAGGCATCCTGGATGGTTAAAAAAAAAAAAAAAATGATAGTAGCAAGCAGAGTTCAGAGAGACAAAATAGTCAAAGGATCAAAATTTAAAAAAAAAAAGGCGCCAAAAAAAAAGGAGAGGAAGCAGGAGTCAAAAAGGAGGTGGGTCACACGTCAGGTCACAAGCCAGCCTATCTGAATTTCAAAGCCTCCACAAGCTTTGGAAGCAGCAGTATCGAGCTTTACTGGCTCTAGATGAGAAAGCAAGCTGCTCTTTTCAGTGCAGCTGGGCTATGCCCTGCACTGCTGTGACACCAGTGGATCACAACGACAGTTATTGCCTCTGAACCCAGAGGTGACGATGGTAACACCTTGATGTCGCTGTACGAGAAAGCAGCAGTAACTACACAGAACTAGTGAATCCCAGGAACAGCTCACACCTCTCAACCGAAAAGCGCTCCTCATAATTTGCAGTATCTTAGTTGCAAGTTAAATTAACTAGATTTCCTTCTCTGTATCAAAGGAAGGGCTGAGAGTTCAACTTGTTGCTTATAAAAAGCAGCAAATGTCAGAATCAAAATGTGGTTTAGATTCCTCAGCTGACATTATACGCTATGGAGGGAGTGGAACAAGTACGGAACATGGTGCTCTTGAGCAGATGCTAGAGAGCTGAACTAGAAAAGCAGCACCTCAAATATCTCCTTTCAAGTTCTATCTTTCAAAAGGCTGAAAAAATAAAGTATTTGGTAGAAACAAGCACCTGCTGTTCAGAGCGGAGAGCTGAAGACAGAGACAGCTTCAGGATCTTTGTGGAATGACTTTATGCAGAAAGACAGGCCATGAACATTGGTCTCCTCCTCCTGAAAACAGCAAACAAGAATAGCCCTTTTCTTCTCCTCCTGTTTGTGCAGCTGTAGTCTCGCTGGCAAGAGTGGAAGGAGAATGAGCTTGAATCCTGAGGAAAAAAAAAAAAAAGGAAAACCAACAAAACCCAGTGAGTTCCTGGGAAAAGCAGCCTATCTCCTAGACTTGTGCATTAAGGCTCTTGCTATGTTCCTAGATTCGTGTTCAGACATACCATTAGCATTCCCAGCTCGCTCCCTCCTCATCCTCTTCATGTGCCGGTCACACGGGTAGGGTTTGTTTTAAATAACAAATTTGGAAAAATGTGGCAGTACAACTAAGAAAAACAAGAGCCAGGTACTGGCTGCCACAGCACACCTCAGCTGGGCAGAGATTAGCTACAAGGTGGACAAAGCCTGGTTTTCGTAAAGTTTGGATACAGATTGTAACTTAACTGCCGGGTTTTGTCCATTAGCTCTGCATATGCTGTTCTGGCAGCCCAGACGGCCCCTCTTTGCTAGAGCCAACAAGTAAGCGCCTTGTTGAAAGAACCTACAGCTGTTACCCAGGAACCCACTTACCATATTCGTTTTCAAATCCAAGTTTTAAAAAATAAAAGAAAAGAAGGGTAAATTGTTTTCCTCAAGCAAGGGAAAACGAACTCGGGGACGCTTTGTGCCAGAGCTATCCAGAGATAACGAACATGAGCAAGTTGCCCCATGCGCCCTGGTGCCACGTCCAACTGCTGAGGGGAACGTTCAGCCGCTGGTTTTAAGCGGCCAAGTACAGGCCGTTCTTTTGAAGTTAACACCATCGGCCTTTGCTTACAGAGACAGAGAAACTCGTTTTTACCATAGAAACACTTCTAGTGTCAGTATTTATTTTTACCTTAATATACATTTATACAGGCCATAATAAAAAGGCTATTACGCAACAGTTCAGTGAGTTATTACCTAGTTTCAAGAATAATGCATGCAATTACAAAGGAGAGGTAGAAACACCGTATTAAAGACCTAAAAATACAAACATTATATAAACAAACACTTTCAAATTAACTGTTGGAATTTCATACAGATAAATAAGGTAAAAAGTACATTACTCTGTCAAAGTAAATGAAACACATGGTTATCCGAACACTGAAACAGTATTTTGATGTGTAAGCCCTGTACAACTTTGTCAAATAGTTCAGACCACTGTGTTTAAGAGGATTAAAACAATTTTGTCCTGGAGAATGGTTTATTCAAGTATTCAAGCAGTTGAGTAACAAAAAAAAGTCCCAAAAATAAAGTATAGGAACCATTTCCAGAGAAGCTGATCTGCCTAAATACTTTGCAAATCGCTGTCCTGATGATCTCATGGGATGCTTGAAATGATAATGCCTATAAGGCTAAATGAAGCTTCCCACCTCTCCCCCCAAATGCACACAAAATAATCCTGATTTTCACACACTGTATGTAGATATTCTACATCAACTTACCAGCATCTCAAACTCCAACATTATTTTCTTGTTTTGCATGGTTCCTTGCAGAACCTTTCAGTTTACAGTATTTATTGTAATACTGCCCGAGAAACAAACTACAGAGAACTGTCATTACACCCCTAGAGACTGCAGGCATTAATGCACATACCGCATGCACAACAGAAGATGCAACCAAATCTATAGAAAAAGCAAACAACCAGCAACTCAACATTGCTATTACTGAGAGAGTCCATAGCAGTAGTTACTCAAGTATTAGACAAATATGTATAAAATGGAAAGGTTCACATGAATACAAGTTTTTACAGTTCGTTTGAAAGTCTTCTAGAAGCTACATTTGAAATTCTGAAAAGAATTTTATGTACACTGAAATGAAATTCAGCCAAGTCCATTGTGCCTTCTTTCTCTGATTTTTTTTTCATATAGTTCTTCAAAAACAAATATACAGTTGCTTTAGTAAATTAGTGCAAAACAAAATATTTTGGAAGATGACCAAATTGTATCCACATCAGCTGAAAACCCACTGGGGATTTTGCACATGGAGCACAATTTCTTCCATTAGCATCTTTCCCTGGTGTAAACCAGCGCTTTCTCGCCATCCCTTCATACGACAAGCTGAGCCATGGTTACAACACGTGAGCTCCGGTACAAGCCAGCTTCGCCCCGAAAGATCCCAACGGCACTTGCACGTGGTTGGGGCTTCCCAAATTCACTCTGCCACGTTTTACTGACAACTTTAAAACATTTTTCATAAACTTTTGAGGGAATTTTCTGAGGAAAATGCCTTTTTAAACCTGTGTTGGGTTTGTGTCTGGTGGGGTTCTAGTAGTGGGGGAAGGAGCTACAGAGCTGGCTCCTATAAGAAGCTTCTAGAAGCTCTCCCAGCTCCAAGTCAGACCTGCCTCTGGCCAAGGCTGAGCCATTCAGCGCCTCTGCGATAAACATATTTAAGAGGGGAAAAACCTGCTGGGCGAGTCTTTTGTTTGGGAGCAGAGAAGAAGAGGGGGATGCAAGAGAAACAACTGTGCGAACACCCAGGCCAGTGAAGGAGGAGCGGGGAGAAGGCGCGCCGGAGCAGAGGTTCCTCTGCGGCCTGTGGTGACAGAGCCAGCAGGCTGACTCCCTGCAGCCCGTGGAGGTGGAGCAGAGGCCCGTCTGCAGCCCGCGGAGGACCCCACGCCGGAGCAGGTGACTGCACCTGAAGAAGGCCGTGACTCTGAGAGAAGCCTGCACTGGATGAGTCCATCGCTGGGAGGACTGCAGCCCGTGGGAAGGACCCACGTTGGAGCAGTTCGTGAAGAGCTGCAGCCCCATGGGAAGGATTCGCGTTGGAGAAGTTTGTGGAGGACTGTCTCCCGTGGGAGGGATGCCACGCTGGATCAGGGGAGGACTGCAAGGAGTCCTCTCCCTGAGGAGGAAGGAGCAACAGAAACAACCGGTGACAAACTGACTGCAATCCCTGTTCCCTGCCCCCTGCGCTGCTGGGAGGAGAGGACGTAGAGAAATCGGGAGCAGAGCTGAGCCTGGGAAGAAGGGAGGGGTGGGAGGAAGGTGTTTTTAAGATGGGGGTGTGTTTCTCATTATCCTGCTCTGATCTGATTGGTAGTGGTGTTTAAATTAAATTGATGTTGTTTTCCCCAAGTCAAGTCTTTTTTTTACCCGTGATAATTGGTGAGTGAGCCCTCCCTGCCCGTCCTTGTCTTGACCCTCAAGCCTTTTGTTATACCCTCTTCTCCCCATCCCACTGAGGGGGGTGGGGGTAGGAGTGAGCAAGTGGCTGTGTGGTACTTTGTGGCCAGCTGGGTGGGCTTAAACCACAACAGTACCTGATGCAGAAGGATCCACTCTCTGTAAAACTCATGAGGGGAAAAACCCAAACCACCCAGATCGTTCAAGTTCAAAGCACACGTACAAGGATCAGTTTGAAATGCGAAGAGAGATTCTTTTAAATCCTGTTGCTAGGAAGAAAGGAGCTGCTGGATTGGTAAGGCAAGTGTACTTTTGGAATTTCTTCTCTTTGAATATGCTGCTGTTTCTTTGGTAGTCACCACAGAAATGTAAGAATCATCTTCCACGTGGGGCAGAACAAGGCCAACAATTAAGCTGTAGTGAAAAAAGTGCAGTATCACTGATGTGGTCCCTTATGTTCACACCATCTGGTCCTTGGGATATTCCTACTGCTCATATACAGCCACTGTGCTGTAGCAAAGTGCAGAAAGCCTTCGCTCGATGCTAGATTTATCTGCAGAGTGAGGTAAAAAATAGGTGATGACTTCAGTGTTATTCTACAATGCATTAATTCCATGTAATTTTCAATGTTTTCATTATTCAACATAAACTTACACTTGTGTACATTTTCTATATCTGCAGGGTCTTGCAGTATTTTAGTCAGTCCTTCCAGCAGCAAGGCTGCTTTGTGGTATCGATATGTAATATCTTCAGTTTGCTGAAACATCTCATCCAGAGCCGCCGACTGAACCTGGAATCATTCAGGAGCTTCAGTTACATAAACTGCATTAGGCAAGTAATGAAATGAAAGTTCAAAGTGAATGACATAAAAATGTGATTAAGAAACTATTTCTGAACCTTAATTTAGCTGATCTGTTTTTATAACTGTAAGACAACAAAACAAAGTCTCAGAAAATATAGCGCCTGTGCTGTATTAACTAAGGATATTCTGCAGGGATAAGCTATAAAAGCCCGTTCTGATCTTCTGTGTTGACATGTATTACAACAACAGAAATATGAATAAATATGCTTGTTCTTATACCCACATTCTCTTGTACAGAAGACAAATGAATTGTGCGTGACTACACCCTTACCAGGGTTAAGCACAGTATTTACCAGTATCTTCTGTGTGACACCTGTGCTAAAAAGAACTCCCTCTCACCAAAAAAAGCAGTTACGTTCCCTCTATGGTTACTGCCTCTGCTCCATGGCAGATAGAAAGTTTATCGTTTCCACATGTTTGCTACTGGTTTTGCATCGTACTGACAAGGCTGATGTTCTTCAACTTGACCTGGTAGATTGATGAAGTTACTTCTGCTGCTTCTGCGCTTTACTAAGCCTTACTGGATGAGACTTCAGCACACGGGGCTGTGTGGCTTCGGAGTTCATTTCCTAGTGTTTATGTACCAAATGTGCTGATGCAGGGGAACTGTCTCTGAGGAAAAGTATCTGCCAGGAACTTTAGCCACAGTTAAGGCAGGGCAGGAAAGAGAGTGAAAGACTAACAAAAGTCACTGTGAACAGAATTCTGGAAACACATTCTATTTTCTGCTTCTGCAGAAGAGGTATGTCAGAGAAGGAAGCAATTCATCTCAATGTCCTATCATTCAGGCAAAAGGAGCAACTTACCATTTCTACAGCACAGCTGTAGATGAGTTTCTCTGCAGTTACACTGTTGATTTCATCAATGAACCTTTGCTTGTCCGAGAAGAAACGATTCAACTTTTCTGTCAGTTTCTTGCACATGCCAATACAGAACTTGTATCTCTCATTGAGGCTTTTCACAACTGGAAGAAAAATATGAAGAAATTAAAAAAAAAAAACCCAAAACAACTACAAAAAAACAGCAAACCCCACACAGCCAAACAACAACACAGCCTAAATTCAGCTTTTCCCAGCACTAGCAATTTGTTTAAACTTGTGCTTTTAATGTTTATTTACTGTTGCTTGTATGAATTAAATAGATATAAAATATTTTCAATTTCAAGTTATTAACTGCCCATTTCTTCACAGTTTCTAGCTGTATCTCTGTTTACTATCAGAATTGTGCAATTGTACATATCTACAATTCTCTTGTATAGAAGAAAACAAACAAATGTTGCAACTGAAGGTTTTTGAGTGATGTATCAGCAAAGAAAATTCACAAGCAAAGCGAATTAAATTATGTTGCATCTACCTTGCTTAACAGCAGTGGATGGGTTCAGTTTCCCCGATTTGACCTGTGCTTTGGCAAGATGCAGAGAAGATGCTAGCAACTGGGCGGCCTTCATATACAACACCAGCTGCTCTACTTGTCTAGGAAGGGGGGGAAAAAATAATTATGGATCAAAACACCTTTTTTGAACACGTTCAAGCCATGGGCAGACACCACTTTTTAATCACAACCCTACGCAGGACCCAGCAGCAGCAGCAAAGGAAGACTGATGTTTAAAATGCAACTCCACCCCTCCCCTTCCCTTCCCAAACACTCTGTCACGGGTTGAGAGTACATCTGCTCATCTAGTAGCTGCAGCAGCAAATACAAGCTGCTTTAATGCAGACGTTTTAAAAAGGAACACTTATTGTGGGGAATAACTGCCCGAGGTCAACGTCTTACCACAAGTGACTGAGTGTGCTTTTCTCACAGCATCATTTCCTGTGCCCCTAGAATTCTCAGCTGTGAAAAGCAAACACTTTGCAGTTTTGAGGGGTTTTTTTGGTTGTGGGGTTTTTGGGGTTTTTTTTTGGTCAAACTGCCCTTTCCCACCACTCCAAATTTCTCCTATTTCTCTTTGCTTTTGATTTTGTATTAGGCCTGACTGGTTCCACTGATAAAAGGTCAAATCTGGACACTCCTTCCCAACCTCCACCTCAGTGCTACTGCCTCAGCCTGGTCAACAGGAACAGATGAGGGCTCAGATCTGACAGAAGCTGATACACAAATTTCCAAGCTTAGAAATGCACTGCTGCACCTCAAGCCTGAACTCCTCACCACTTTCCCCAACTTATGTGGCAGGCCAGAAAACAGTGTCCTTCTATTTGTCTGCTAGCAAATGTCTCTCTATCCTTTGCTCTTTCTGATCTGTCCTCAGTTGTTAAAAACTTATTCCTATAAAAGATTCCATGCAGTAAAACACCCACTCCCAACAAAACCAGCATAGTTTCAATACATTTCTGATGTATTCAATATTCATTAACTCTCTTGATACTATTTGACCGCATACTTACCCCCACTCTTTGCTTAGCTGGCTGATCTGATCAACAACTATGCTCTCCTGGATTTGGTACAGCGATACTGCAGAAGTACACAGGTCTGGGTTTCCTCCTCGTACTGCTGTCAGATCCAGAACACATTCCGTAAATGTCAGCATCATGTTTAGATGACGCAGGGTGTCTGTATGTTCTCTCTGTCGGAGGGAAAGACGACAACAATTTAAGCATTATAAGCCATAAGGCAAACAAGTACACTTAAAACTCTTGCTGATCATTTGAGGATTTCTTGGTACGTCAATTCTATGCAGAAATCACATTGTAGCAGAGCCAGCACTAGGGACTACAGAACGAAATGGGTCCAAACAGATCAGCAGATATTAACTTGTCCTCTCTTCGTTAATGATTTCAAGACACTGTAACTTATACTTAAGAGTCTTTCAACAAAGCCAAAGGAATTGGGACATGGAGTTCTATGTTTGTTGAAACCTGAGCAACTAAAGAAATCACAACTGGGACATATTACTTGTTATTACATTATCAGCAACCCAAAAACATGCTCGGCACTTGCATGAGAAGCCAGGAGGAACATTTGGCTTTTATTATATAACCGACTTGATACCTAGAAGAGAACCAATCTAAAGCTTCATACTTACCTGCTTCACTCTAATTTACACTCAGATCTAGAATTATATTGCGTTAAAAGGCGGCTGTTGGTTGTTCACCATTTAAACCAAACAACCTCAGTTGCAGCTAACAACTCTCTGCTTCTTGGTGACTAAAACAGATATTACGTGCATAGTCTCTGCTCAAAAAAAAAAGTTAACCTTCAAAACTGATCAAATATACCATAGCAATATTTATAATCTTTTCATTAGTAATGAAGGTCTAAATAAATTTTAAACTCTATCTGTGGGAAGAATACAGTGTACTGTCAAACATTCACGTTATAACAAATACATTCAATAGGGATCCAAACACCTTCCAGCAAGATGTGAATGAGAAAACAGAACAACAATCTGTCTTGAGAAATTTACAGTCCAAGGATAGCATTCTGGTGAAAGACCACCCCAATTTGTGTTTTTAAAGCGTCACTCCTCCACATGTTTTAAAAAAAATATAGGACACTCTTCCCACAAGTAGGATTTAATGTCATCCACTGACTGTGAAGCAGCAGTTAAAAACAATATCCAGAGGGATATTGCTACTGTCAGCACCCACGTCCAGAGACTTGGCATTAAAACAGAGGCCTCTTTGGAAGGCTCTGGTGAACAAAAGCAGCCATGTTCCTTTGGTTACCTATACAAATACACGAAATGCCAGGCATAACTACCAAAGAGAAATTGGCCACGATTGATACAGGAATATTTCCAAGATCTTAAACAGGAATATGTGAGATAGTGAAGAGGAAACTATGAAGGGCACTCGGCGGTCCTGTTTTTACCATGTCTCTGTTTTAGCAGCATTATACATTATAAAACATCAAATTATTTTTTCTATACCTCCATTAAAGTTTCCTCAGGCAATTCGGGAGCTTCAAAAGTGATAAAGCCCTCTAAGCTGGGAGGCGACGTACCATAAGGCATGTACTTCAGACTTGGAGCTGCTTCGGCTCCCGGAGGAGAAGAACCCATATAAATACCAGGAGGAGAGCCCATATATACACGGCCACTAGTAGAGCAGAGAGACCCTCCAGAACTGTTTGATCCAACTACAAGAAAAATAAACACACACATTCAAGTCTAACAGTTGTTCCATCTCGCAGCGCTGGGGCTGCAGATGATTGCAAGTGACAAATCAGTAGTCATCACAGATTCACTCTTGGGAGGCTCTCTTCATTGTTCCTGGCATCAGTCTGTAGAGAATGCAAAGGCTATACCGTAATGAACAGTGACAATTCAGAACACAGACTCTGTGAAATGGCTGGCAAGGATTCCAAGGCAAAGTGTCCAACAGTACAGGCCAAAGGTTGTGCTCTAGTTGACAAAAGCGTACTGCTGCACACTCCTGCTCATCCTGAGCAGATGAAGGCCTTTACCTTGAGATCTTTGACATTCGGCAACATAGCCGACACATGCCGAAACGCAGTTAGCTCACACCCCTTGTGTGTTGTTTCTGGTACAAAGCACAGCAGCAGGCAGAAATGCAGAATCAGAAAACTTTTCCTCTCTGCCTTTGGCATAGAGATCTATTATACTCCCTGTGGTGGACTAAAGCTGTGTACACAGGAGGTTACACATCGCTGTATTGTAAATCTGTGCCTCTGACCCTCTGTTAGGAAAGAAAAGGCAGAAGTCATCTGATAATAACCTCTACGTTACAGAGCACTTCTACTGAACAGCCTAGAGGACCTACTGTGCAAGGCAGTGATCAGGATACTGGCCCAAGAAGTGGGCAAGCCTAAATACTGCATTTGAGAACAGTCCACAGTTGTCAGCCAAGTCTCACCTGAGGTGGTTCTTGTTCTGAGGACCATATGGGTGCAGGTAGGAGGGGTGGCGCTGCTTGGAGGGGACCCAACAGTAAACATGACAGCCCGAGAACTTGCCCCACTTCCCATGGAAGGAGGTGCCATTGCAATTCCATAGGCCCCTGCTGGAGCTGGAAGAGAAAATTTCAGCAAGTTAGTCCTGCTTACATATAATCATACCAATAAGTAATCGTATGCAGCAAACTGGACCACTGCAACACAGCACACTTGGATGGAGATCCAAGACTTGGACTAGTTAGAAGTTCTGACAGCAAATAAAAGAAGTTGACTGGACAGCCTTGGTGATACACAAAGAGTCAAGATGCAGTCTACACGTATCTTTTTACTTTCAATTTCTTTCTGCTCTACTCTTGCCTGGAAAACAGCAACAGAGGCTCTGAGAGCCTGAGGACACCACCAGTCCCACAGCAAAAGATACAATTCTATAGGCAGACCATGACGGGTCTGGAGGCTAAAGACCAGCCCTGTCTGTAGAACTCCTTCCATCGGCTCAAAAACAAGGTGAGAAGTTCTGGCGGCTACTTGTAGCAAGGGACAAGCTGAGGGAGGGAGGAGAAAAAAACCCTAATAACTCATAATTACATAAACTGGCTTTCATATGAAAACAAGGTAGAATTAGGAAATGAAACAGAGACAAATGTTGCATTAAAAAAAAAATAAAAGCAAACCAACCCAAACCCCTCTAGCCAGTATAGGCAGTTGAGATAGATCTGTGTTTAGCACAGAAATAGGTATTTTCCTGTCTCAGTTATTTTTAAAGCTATGCTAAAGAAATGGAACATATCCCCTTGAAGATTAAAAAAAGCCTTCTGTACTGAGGCTAAAAATTGTCAAAACCAATTACTGAAGTTGGAAGCAGAACTGTATCTAGTTGGCACTCCATAAAAAACCTAGCACATGAAGACAGCTTGGATGTATCAGTCTGTTCCTTACCCGTATCCATTGGTCGCTCTGTGTTGAGGCTGTCTGTACTGCCTTGATATAACTGGCCACCAAGGGTAGTCTTTACCTGTTGATCTGATAGCTTCCCAGTGCTAACAGACCTAGATAGAAAAATCCATGAGTTCCCAACAAAGTTCTTCAGTAAGATCTTCCTATCTAACTTGCAACTAAGGATGACTTTCAGACTCCTGGTATTTATTATAGAGAATTCTTCAATAAAAACACAGAAATTCTTGAAATCTCGCTGTTCATCATGGACCTACTGAAACAGAGCTAACCATGAAAATAAACAGACCTTTTTCCTCTTAAAAATTTATATTGCAAATTATGTCATATACGTTTTCAAGCAAAAACTGAACAGGCTTCACAGAAGCAATGAAATTTCATATTCAGATAATCAAAACAAAAGGGAACTAGGCAGCAAGACAAAGCGCTCCAGGAAGTCCATGCTATATTTATACACAGTACAAAATGTTTCTGTTGTATACACCAAACCTCAGCATCTCCTCGCAGCTCACTTTTTGCATGCTCTTCCCCTCCACGTTGCTGCGTGCAACGTACATTCTTCTGCCAAGTTACCTACCCAGCTTTAAAGGTTATATATACTACAATGCCTACCTGCCAAATGTAGTTTTACTGTGCTGTTCTCCGGCCTGCTTTTCACTTCCTTGGGTCGAGTGGAAGTGTGTGAAATCCCTTGGGTCAGCGATGTCTTTAGGCTGTAACGGGGTATCTACCGAGCCCTGGCGATTAGCCAGGGCCAGCAAGTTTGAGGATGCTTGAGTTTTAGGTATTTTGAAAGGAGCTGTTGCCTTTAAGAATCAAGACCAAGAACAGACAAAAACCAAAGTCAGAACCCCAGAATATTCCTGGTAACGGTTTCAGGCAGCGTGTTACCACTTTGCATTTTACCGAGAGTGGCAAACTTAACAAACCTTAGTAGGAGAGCCAATGATCGTTGGTAATGGAGTTTTGAACAGCCAGTCTGAACTCCTAGGTGACGATCCCATATGTTTGGTAGGTGAAGTTCCCAGGCTACCTGGCCTACTTGGTTGTGGTGAATGACCGTATCCATAGGCAGCGTAGGATGGGCATACTGGGTCTGAATGCTGCTTTCTTAGCTTCTGCTTGTTTTGGTAAATATCTGTGAGAGTAGGAGCACTCTGCAACCTCGCTCCCATCAAAAGTGACTGCGGAGACTGAGATGGTGGTACCAGAGAACCTGTGGGGATTAAAAACAACTGAGTAAAATTCTACTTGCAGTGCTTGGAAAATGTATCAGTGAAGGCCAGAATGCCAGCGATCGACATTAAACTGAAAGGAGACGGGACTGCAAATACTCCGAGGTATGTTTGATCATTAACTCACTAGATGGCAAGGAGAATGGATTTAGCCTGTCGGCTATTTGGACTAAGGCTACATTACACTGATGAGATGTTCAAGCTGCCAAACAGGCAAGATTTCAGAGTGACAGCTGTACTGGCAGCTGCAGTACCTCTGGCAACCTGCATCAAGACAATGAAGTGGTTGGAATGGCGTAACCAATACTGAAATTTCAAGTGCAGTCGCCAAGACTCTAGGTTGAACAGAGCTTTTCAAGTACGGGAATTATATTCTTGCAAACAAGTGTGTGAATGTGACAATGCATGTTAATGACTTGTTTTGTACATAACAACTTCATTTGCAGACACAAAAGGCAGCTCATCTCATGGTTCCTGCAAGAAAACTAGGTACTAAAAAGAACCAAGTTACTGAGATTGAACAGTCTGGGATCATTACTTCGGGCACTCATTTACTTTTTAGCCTGTCAGGCTGAATCTTTCTCAAAAGCTTACTACGTACAAAGGAAGCCCACACTTCAGTGCAAGTGCAAAGTTTCTCCTAAAGCAAATGGCAATGGAAGAGCTATAAGCTGTCATTTAAACATATGGCTTTGGGGAAATATCTCTTATGAACACCTCACCTACTCTAAGGTGCCCTTCCTCTTTCAAAGTAAGGAACCTGAAATTTGATGAAGTGGTCTCTTCCATGTGGTATTTTTATATCTCATGATGAGGAAACTGTGCAAAGTTACAGACAGTACATAAGACTTCAGCTTTATGGCCACAGCTTCCTGGATAAAATGCCTATCTTTGTAACCTCAAAGAACCGACACTGAAGTGACAATTTCACTCATGGGTTTTTTTTTTTTTGAAAAAAGGAAAACTGAAAACGAACCATACTAACTAGGTAAGATTTTTAAGAGCTGGCCAAGACAATCTTCTGACATAGGCTCTGTTCCATAAATGTATGCTCAAAAAACCATCACAAACTTCTTGCAGTTTGCTCAGTAAAGTGCCCAGCTGTTAAGACATACCTTTCAACCTTCTTAAGCCTCTGGTTTTCCTAGTTAGATTTTGAATATGAGCTACTTCGTCTTGATGTCATTCCACACGACTGAACAGTATGTTTTAGAATAGCCTTTCTGCCTGCAGCTCCAGCAGAGGGATCAAGTCTATTTCTCATTAACTTCTCAGCCAAGAATTTCCTTGTCTGAAATCCCTCTGCTTGTCTCTCTCATAGCATTGAAAGTCCTCACCTGTTGTTTCAGAAACCAGTCTTAAATCTCGCTGGTTACTGTTCTAGTGTCAATGCCACCACAGGGAAGGCTTCTGGAACAGAAGTTTGTCCTCTGCTGCTACTGGCAGCAAGAGCAGCTCAATTAGTTCAGAAGCTACATTACGACAGACATCTTCAGTCCTTAGAAAAACTCAGTACAGATGACCTAACTTCACCCAGAAGCAAAAGACAGCTTCCCATACCCATTTAAACGCTGAGAAACAGACTTGCTGCAATTTGTGGTACTTTACAAATAGAAACACCACTGCAGTCATTTGAAATTAAGAAATAAGTCAAGTAGGAGCAGAATGCAGGAAACAGATGAAGAAATGAAACATTAAAAACCCTTATAGCCATAAAACCAGCACTGTGGTATGTTACAAGTCAGTGTGACACTGGCAAAAGGCACTAAACAAACAGCCCTACAAAATTCTATCCAAAGAAAAGATGCAACAAGAGGAGCATACACCCTGCTTTGTATTCTCTTCGCACACACACTTTTTTTAAGAGACTATTTCAACTCTGAGGGTTCACTCATTGCTTGTCTTTTGTGGAGACTGCCAATGGCATAGCAATTATGAAGGCAATTTTTGAGACACATCATAGAACTTACTTCATATAGATGAAACTATTCCCAGGTATCTGAAACACAGCTACTCCAAGAAATGAAGGCTCTATCATCTCCAGATGATTTTGGAAAAGTGTTTAAATAGGGAAAAAACCCACAATGCTGTTTCAACACCACCTCTTATAAAGTCAAGACAAAGAGTATAACTAGTATTTTAGATAAAGAAGAAAATGCACCCAAAGTGTGCATAGAGCAAAAGAACGTGTTGCTGAATTGCATATTCTTATGCCCAATCCTTCCATCATTACAGTGCAATTCCATCTTTAACAGTCTCAGAACATCCTCAAATCCTATTTCTGCCTGATCTTTTTTTTTTTCCTGCTGGCATGCCATAATAATTTATGACTTGCAAAACTTACCGAATGCTTAGCAACACTAACATCAGATCCCAGTCAATTTCCTAAGGGATTGAGGAAAACGTGTCGCATGCTGTACACTGGCAGTTCTTCCTCCCTTTTCTGAGGACTGGCATGACAGCGCTGGTCTATCAAAACCAGATTCTGAGAAGCATGTTACTACCATTCATTATAATCCATCCACTTCCATCCCTGTTTAAAGACCGGCATTATCAGAGTTGTTTTTTCGTCTTGAGAAAAAGAGCTTCAGTTGCTTTCCTATTGTGT